TACATAACAACAAAAGGTATGTATTCTATTCTCCTATGTCAATTTCGAAAATAGTAGATGCATGTTAGGGTTCTTATGTGTTCATAATGTTGTATAACTAATAGTGATAACATAGATCCAACTCTAGGGTTGCATGCACACATAAGATTGTTTGTATAAAACCCATCAAAACATACCCGCAGCCGCATCCGCCTCTGCCCTGACCTCCTCTACTGTAAGCTGGAAAGCGCGTCACTGAGCCCTCAGAGGCTCCACTCCACCCTGACCCCCACCCGTAATCCTCAAATTGGCCGGTGCTGGAGCCTGCACCGGTCTTGCAACAAGCTGTGGACAGTTGACCCTCAAGTGTCCAACCTGATGGCAGTGATAACAAATCGTCATATCTTGAACCGGGGCCGACTAACGGCAATCCCTCGCATAATGCCCGTCTCTCCCGCACTTGCGGCACGCACCACCGGATCTGCAAACTCCGGCATGACCCTTACCACACTTATCACAAGTGTGGCTGCTCTGACCCCCAATCCTAGAGTCAACGGTCTTGGACCGTTTCGGCGCCGGCTGCGACTACACCGGGGCCTGCCTCTGCTCTCGCAACTGCAACTCAATCTCCAACTCACGCCGCCTGGCGACCTCCTGCAACTCTAACAAAGTATCACATCTCTGCATGGACACAAACTGCCGGATATCCCTCTTGAGCATACTCAGATAGCGGGACATCTGAGCCTGCTCCGAAGCAAACTCCGGGCAAAACATCGCCCTCTCAGTGAACATTCTGGTGATCTCCGTCACCGAATCTGAATCCTGCTTTAGCTCCAAAAACTCCTGAGCCAACCTCTCTCTCTCAACCCGCGGAAAATAACGAGTACTGAACATTTCCCGGAACTAATCCCACGTAACCGCAGCCCGCTGCGCATCAGAATAAGATCCCGTAGTCAACCTCCACCAATCCTTCGCCCCGAGCCTCAAAAGGTTCAGAGCACACCTCACCCTCTGATCCGCAGGGCATGAACACGTGAAAAAGCAACCGTCCACATCTGACAACAATCTCATAGCAATAACGGATCCTGAACTCCATCAAAAGTAGGGGGCTTCGTATTGTCGAAGTCCCGATACTGAAATCCCCGACCGACTCCTCCTCCTGCCGTTCCTACAGCCGCTGCAGCTGCCGCGGCAGCTGTATCCGCAAGAGCTGCATAGTGCTCATCAAAGTACTCAACCATGGCGGTCTTGATCGACCCAAACATCTCCGACAACTGAGCCCGGAACATAGCAGCAACCTCATCATGCAGGATCTCACGAATCCTGGCATTCAACTTATCCGTACTCATCTGACCAATGACCTCGGGTGGCGTTGATCCGCCCTGACCACCCTCTCCTGATCCCGTTCCTGATCCGGATCCATCCCCGGTACGCCTCGTAACCACCATACTGAAAATACGCCACAAGATATTAGGCATTCCACATAATAACCCGAAACTACTCCCAACAAAACAAAAACAAAACCCTAGGGGTTGTGACTTCCTTGATACGCGTATGGGTCCTGTGCTTTCAGTAGTACGGGCCCATACTACCTTCCACACCTACCCATATTTGTATCAGGTATCACCACAACACCCTAACCATATATACACACACGGCGAGCGATCAATCCTCACTCCTAGAGGAAAACTGAATATCTCATATAAGGAAAACCCTAGGCTAGTAGGCATCACATATTCAGGCAATTCTATCATTCAATTCCTGAAGATCCCTAGCCTAGTACTAGCATGTTGTTCTAACAAATCACATAATCAAAATAACTTGTATGGTATTTTGGGGTCTACTTACTGGCTCTGGCTGATCGTACCCTCTGCATCCTCCTTTACTTATTTCGAGAACCTTTTGAAAACCATTTTGAAAATCCCTCCTTGATTTGAGACTGGATTCACACGAATGTTCCTCCAATTCACTCAAACCAAGGATCTGATACCAACTTGTAACAACCAAAATTTGCCAACCAATTTAACTTTTCAAAACACCCAAATCCATTAATTATTACAAAAAGGTTTCAATTAGTTTATTATCAGAGTATCCCAGAAAACATCAGCATAAAAATGAGGAGCGGTACGATCACGCCTTCGCCTTGCCACGATCTCCTGAAGTACCTGAAACAATACACTGGAACTGTAAGCCCGAAAGCTTAGTGAGTTACCCCCAAAATACCAACCACATAACCATACACAAATCAAATCATATCATAATACAGAACAGCCATGCATATTGAGTCTACAGTGTGACTGGTCCACCCGCACCGGGCCTTCAGTCCACCTGGTCCACTCTCTGAGTCTACAGTATGACTGGTCCGCCCGCACCGGCCTTCAGTCGGTCTGGTCCACTCCCCGAGCCTCGGCGGTCTGGACCGCCCTCCTGGGGCTTCAGCCTATCCGGACCGCTCGCTGGGCCTACGGTCTATCCGGTCCCCCTGGGTATGTTGGCCTACAGCACAAGCAGGACCCGCCTCAACCCAACTCAGTCAAACCACCATGTGCACATAAAACAGTCAATCACATAATAATCCCCAGACAAACCGATCTATCAGATCAAACAGCATAACAACATCCTAACCAGGATACCAACCTAACCGGTCACTTAACATAGCATTACCCTATATACCAGGATACCGACCTTAACCAGGTCACTAACATAACATTACCCTATATACCAGGATACCGACCTTAACCAGGTCACTAACATTATACATCCTAATTACAGGATGCAGACATAGCAAATCAATACATATCAAACAAATACCCGGATTCCCATCCAATAAAGGGCCGGCCTTGGTGCCTTAGACCCTGTTGATATAGTGAGGATAACTCACCTTGCAACTGCCGAACCAAATCACGAAAGCACAAACCCGAAGCACTGCCTCCGACTCCAACACCTATAATCATCAATGATCCAATGACATAAATATCCAAAAATTACCATAATACCCCTGGAGGTCAAACTGGTCAAGGTCCACCTTCCTGATTGACCCTACTCGCCGAGTCAACCCATTGACTCGCCGAGTTCCTAAACTCAGGAAACTCTCATAACACGACCCAACTCGCCGAGTCACCCCATGACTCGTCGAGTTCAACAATCTCCGAGTCCTATCCTGTCCAACTCACTGAGTCACCACTCAACTCACTGATCTGAATCTAACCAGAAGAGGTTGGGGAGGTTTGCACTCTGACTCGCCGAGTCCAAGAACCGACTCGCCGGGTCCACGACAATCTTCATCAGACTCTCCGAGTTGTTCTTCCACTCGTCGAGTCCAAGCTCATCATCATATGACTCGCCGAGTTCACCCATGTGACTCGCCGAGTCACTATGTGACTCAATGCCTGAAGCCCTAGCCCAACTCGCCGAGTCATCTCCTAGACTCGTCGAGTTGATACGGGTATTCCCATAATCGAAAGATACAGATCTACTCCTTTGCTCCAAACAATAGATCTGGGTCCCTAGAGTGCCTTAGCAACATAAAGTTGCTATCTTTACGTGCTTCATGTCCCATAATTCCAAAAACCAAGCTAGAAAGGAACTTAACTCATGGGAAATGGCTTTTGCATAGCAATTAGAAGGGCTTTCTGCATATTTGATCCAAATAGAACTCGGATATGGAGTTTCAAGCTCCAGATCTAACTCATGCACCAAGATCTCATCATATTATCTCAAACAAACCTAAAACTCCATGAAAGATGGATCTAGAAAGGAGAAGGCCAAGGATAACGATTCATTACCTCCAAAACGACCTCCCACTGAAGAATAAGCCGAATCTCCACAAATCTTCTTGATCCAAGCTCCTTGATCTTCAAAATCTCTTCACAAAATCACTTATCTAAGCTCCAAATTGCTTCCAAGGGCTCTCACTCACGCTTTTAGGGTTTCTGGATCTCAAAGGGTAGTAACGGGGCTGAGGGGAGGACGTTAAGTCCTTTAAATAGGGTGCAAACCCTAAGATTAGGGGTTTCCTCTTCCAGCACTGACTCGTCGAGTCCAACCGCCGACTCGGCGAGTCAGGCCACTTATCACGTGCTCTTCACACGCTCCGACTCGACGAGTCATAGCTCCAACTCGCCGAGACCATCCTTCTAATAACACTTTACATCCCTGAACTCTTGCTTCTGAACTTGGGGTGTTACATAATTATTATATTTTAAGATGTTACACTTGTTAGTTTTGTTTGTTTATTTATCTAAATTATTTGTTTAAATTTAAAAGAGAAAAAAAAATCACTTTAATTTTAACAATTCAATATTTTTTTCGTTTTTCTTATAAATTCAAACTTTTCAAATGTTTAGAATTTCATACTTAATTCTTCTTTTAAATAAACTCATGTAATACATGAGTCTTACTCCTAACGTACAGTTTACAATGTTGTCTTTTACACCTTCTATCTCCTCTTTATGCTTATTGAGAATACATTTAATCCCTTGACCTAAATTACAGACAATTATTCATTTGAGTTCACAACCCTTTGGCCCATTCGTACTTATTATGTTCATCATTATGGAGTGTGTGAAGTAAATATAGTATTATTCACAATATAGGATTATTCACATAGACAGCGAATCATCTCTATATATTTTTACTTCTAACACCATTGAATATTTGTTTGTAAAGCTTCTTGTTTATTTATTTTTAGTATTAGTATTACTTTTGGTTTTTATAGAAGTTATGATAACATCTTCATCATTTTGATTCATCAATGTGGGATGTTAACTGACATCGACACTTGACAGTGAGCACAAAACAAGGAAATAAGGAGCATGAATTAAAAAATGAATCATCAGGACTAAGCATACAACTTCTTAGAAACAACATGGACTATATCTGTAATTTACTCAAAATATTATTATAACCTTATGAGACGGGTTTCGGGCAGGGACCGGTGCAAACTATTCAAAACCCGAATCCTATACTCGATTCGATGGTCAAAATAACCAAGCCACCCACTCACGTGCGATGCACGCGTGACACGATCAACCACCCCCAGGCAAAAGGATCGCCATCTTCAGCGTAGCCTCAAGTGAAGATCGTTTTTGAGCGACAAAAGTTGTCTCGAAAATGCATTCTCGATTCAAATCTCTATCTCGAACCCTAATCAATTCGAATCTCCTTTCTTCAATCTCAGTTCGAACCTTCTCTTCTCAAATCCAACACCCTCAAACCCTAACCGAGCTCCGCCATCGTCTCGCCGCCGAATCACCTACCTTAAACGACTTCATCCGTCTCCAATCCGATGAGGAGTATTCAGTTGAGGTTGGTACGAAGAAGAAGCCCTTACCTAAGCCTAAATGGATGAAGGAATCGATCCCCGGTGGGGAAAAGTACACGCATATTAAAAAGAAGCTTAGGGAATTGAAGCTTCATACAGTTTGTGAAGAAGCCAAATGTCCCAATTTGGGAGAGTGTTGGTCCGGTGGAGAAACTGGTACTGCTACCGCTACAATTATGATCCTCGGAGATACTTGTACTAGAGGCTGCAGGTAAATGATTATCCTTTCTGTATAAGACATGTTAATTTGTTTGATTGTCCTATATTATCGATTAGAAATATATTAAGGCGATTGAAGGTTTTTGCTATTCATGTATCCATCTTGATTGGCAGTAAATAATGTATACTAGAAACCAAATCAGTTCAATTGAAGCTAAGTGATGAAACCAAAATGTAAAAGGTGCCATTAGAATAGATCCCTGTAAATCATAGGAAGCTTAATGTCTATAAATAATAAATTCCTGGAATTATGTAGATAATCACCGAATCAAAGGAAGTGCAGTAAAATAAATAAATTTGGGACACTTGCAAAAAGCTCCCCTGAATTCACTAACCCTAGAAAGGTATTCAAATATGTCAAATTTGCAAATGGAACACAAAATGAAAACTTTCAATACAGATAGAAGTTTGTTAAGATCTAGTGCAACTTTGGTTTAGCTACCAGTTCGATATAGGACGAAGGTTTGAGATTGAGTTTTATGGTGGCTTTAAGGTTTTTGTGGCTGTGACACAAAACATGTTAAATCCAATAAATAGCAACATACTTCCATGATTTTGTTTATTATAGCTTCCTACATTCATGTCTTTGTATTACAACATTGTACTTTGAAATATCTACCAATTATACCAATGCCATTCAAATACAAATCAATTCTACTTTGTTGTGATTTCAGATTCTGCAATGTGAAGACTTCAAAGACCCCACCTCCTCCTGATCCAAATGAACCTTCAAATGTTGCAGAGGCAATTGCTTCATGGGGTTTGGAGTATGTTGTAATTACCAGTGTTGATCGTGATGATTTATCTGATCAAGGAAGTGGCCATTTTGCTGAAACTGTTCAGAAGTTGAAGACATTGAAACCTAGTATGCTGATAGAAGCCTTGGGTATGACTTTCTCCATCTTTTCAATATTTCACATCATCATGGAATGTAATGACTGATTCCATTCCCCTGTTGTGATTCCGGTTTTCCATACAGTTCCTGATTTCCGAGGAGACGTGTCATGTGTTGAGAAAGTTGCAAAATCAGGACTTGATGTATTTGCTCATAACATTGAAACAGTGGAAGAGCTTCAAAGCTCTGTAAGAGATCACAGGGCTAATTTCAAGCAATCTTTGGGTGTTTTAATGGCAGCAAAAGATTATGCTCCACCAGGAACACTTACAAAAACATCAGTAATGTTGGGTTGTGGGGAAACACCAGATCAAGTGGTGGCTACAATGGAGAAAGTCAGAGCTGCAGGTGTTGATGTCATGACATTTGGCCAATACATGCGTCCTTCAAAGCGCCACATGGCAGTTTCTGAGTATATAACTCCCGAAGCTTTTGAGAAATATCGATTACTTGGCATGGAAATGGTATGCTAAATTCTCATTCATCTATAATCTATTCTTTGCTTAGAATTACAAAAGGTTATAATATATATAACACCCTTTTAGTCATTTTTCTCTTTAAAAGTTGTAAAATGTGAGGGTTTTTTCAGGAAAAACTAAAAAGTTGAGGATTTATTTGGAAACATTTAGAAGGTTGGGGGGTATTTTCGGAAAAAAAAAAAAATACAAAGCTGAGGGTTTTTTTTTTTTTGGAAAAATGAAAAAATATAAGGTCTTTTTCATGAAAAAAATAAAGATGAGGTTTAATCTGGAAAAAACACAAAATATAAGTTTATAAAAAGCCACTACAAATTTTATTTTATTTTTTTTGCAGAAAAAGCAATGACAATTTGAATCTTTTTTTATTTGAAAAAGTACATTGCTGTTTATATGAACTTAAATACCGAGTTTGAAATTGCGTGTGTGATCGCACATGATTCTTACACGAGTGTTGTTTCACATTAGCAAGTGCTTGCATTCACTAATTTGGTAAAAAGAGTGGGCCCATTTTTTGTGTATTTCATGCAGAGATATCAATGTTCATCATATCTTGTCTATTCCTTTTTAATCTTTTAAGAGAGAAATGGGCCCCACCACAGTTTATAAAGTTTAGGAACAAACAAATATGCAACACAAAAGCCAACACCCATCATAACAGTCAATAACAATAGAATAAACGAAGGTAAATTTGTAAAAAAGGTTTAGACTTAATGGGATATTTCCTTTTTTTTCCGATTTTATTTATTAAGGCGATTTTTTTGCATTAAGTAAAAAAGAAATAAAAGTAGGATGCTTTAATAAAGAAATGAAGAAAAGTGTGTTGCATTTAATTTAACGCTAAGTGAGCTTGAGTTGATGACATGGCATGGCAGGGATTTCGATATGTGGCATCTGGTCCTATGGTGAGGTCGTCATACAAAGCAGGGGAGTTTTACATCAAATCAATGATAGAAAAAGATCGTGCAGCATCTGCATAATTAATTATAATTACTTCTTACTTCATCTCATTAATCATAACTTTTGTCATCTCTTATTCGATTGCTATCAGTAATTCATACTACTGCTGTTACTTGTATGCCTAAACCTAATTCTTTGTAATTATGTTGTGTAATTTCCATTTACCTCTTTTAAGTCCATTGCTGTAAATGTTATTACTAATAATATCAGTGATTTTTGGTCAAACATGAAAATATGCCAAAACTTTTTGTAAACATATGGTATGCTTTTTGTGGACAATAACTATGGAGACTGTTGAAGCAACAGCGATCATGCTTTTATGTAAGGTTAAATACAAAGAGTAACAACATACTTTCATTGACTTGTTTATCATGGTATTTTAATTTTCTAATGTAAATTATAGAAATTGGCCATGTAGTTTGCATGAGGCCGCAGTTTCTGTGCAAGTTTCAAAATTTTGCTGTGGGTGATCTTCATGGTTCTATTTTCTTTCATGGTTTAACTCTTGAAATTTTCATATATGACTATTTTATCCTCGAACCAAAATAGTAAGAGCTATAACTATAGGGGCCAAGCTTGTAACTTATTTATATCTCTATTCAAAACAAACCCTTTTGAACCTTAATATATCACTTTCTTTCTGATAGTGTTAGTAGACCTAACAAAGGTATTGTGGTTAAACATTGGTTATTGACAGTTTGACACTAACTTGACCCGTTTAGTTATCGTGTCGCGTTAACTCTATATTTTTTGTGTCAAGTTCGTGTTCAGGTTGCAGGGTAGGATTAAGACCTTGTAAATGTATTGTATCATGTTCAGTAGAAACATTAAATAGGTTGAAGAAGTAGGATTTGGAGAAGTGGAATGACAAAATTCATAGTAAGCTTTGAAGGAAAAGTAAGAGTTGGGGAGGTAGAGGGAATAGTCGAGTGGGACTATGGAGTATTGGAGAGAAAGGAAAACAAAAAATGAATAGGTAGCTAAGTAGATTCCACATTACAAAATGACTTAATCCAAGGCTTTTTTATTTTTTATTTTTAATTTCTGGTTATGGTTTTGAATGTCTAATTATCTAAATTAAACAAAAAAAACTTTCATATAAATAAACGGATCGTTTTCGATTTGAAATTTCCAACCTTAACTTTACCAATTTAATTAAACCGGTTAAAATCTTTTTATCCAAACTTGTTTATTTCGTGTCAGGTTAGTTTGCCGTGTCCGTTTCACTACCTCTCCCATTACACAACTTTTTTAATAAATATATATATAACTAAATTCCATTAAATAAAAAATTTAAAACACTTAAAATATATATTTTTCAATGATGAAAATAACAAGACTAATAATAAAAATTGCATTTCATATCCAACTACAATGTCGTTATGGTCCACCATTTCGTGTGTTCTTTCATAATTGTCTTTGCCACCTCGTACGGAACCACTTTAGTTTTATAAGGGTTTATATATTCAACGTGTATCAGCTTTGGATTGACGGTATTTGTGTTCATGTCCTCCCACTTTGAATTCATTTGATGGGCATTACAATCAATAACTACCAATTATTGTTTAAAATATGCTAGCATTCGCTTCCAAAGAGAAGTTAATTGTTGTTGATTTGTGGTAACTGAGTCTTTTGAAATGTTGATTCAAGCCTTGGCCAACATGACTTCTTCATCGATGCTCCATACTATTGATTTCTTCTTTAAAGTAGTCGTGGGTGGAGGGTTGCATCTAGTGACTCGTCGGATGCTTCTTGGTCTTGCATGTCAGGTTGCATTTCATCATTATCCTCTTAAGAATTTTGAGGTTGTGTTTCTGTAAAAAGTTATGATAGACTTTCCGTTACTCAGTTAACATTGTATTGTGTCGGCATTTGCGATAGTTGGAAATCGTTAAACGCTTGTTGTATCCCCATATGCAAGAACATTGGGTTAAATTATGTTTGAGTTTGATATTGAAATTATTGTTGGGAAAAACATGTGACTAAATGGTATTTGTAATCGATCAAATCATGGTAGATCTTGTGAGCTTGTAGTTTTGTCTTTTTCGCAGTACGAACCCAAGTTTTTAGAATTTATGTATGCTGAAAACATTTTTAGGAACTTAAAAAATGTAGGTGAAAAAGAAATAAGAGTATAGAAGGTTGCGAGAATGGTATGAAAATGAATAAGATTTAGTAAATATGATCCCTAGACGATCGGATTGAATGACCCATTACAATCGACAAGAACACAAATAAAGAAAAAGAGAACTCCAAACGGATTCTAAATTGATAATCGAATAAACTGTATAACACAGGAAAAGAAATAGTTATAATGAAACCTTAAGAAATTAGATTGATTAGGAAAAGATTCATAATCAATTATCTAAATCAAATCTCAAAAAATAAATTGTCGAAAAAACCCATAAAAACATAATTTTGATGCCCTAAACGAACCCAAATCACCGAAAAACACCACGCATCATGATAAAACAATGAGTTTTTAATTGACTCATTTTACATGTCGTGTGCGGATTTCGTATAATTCCGAATTGTCCGCATATATTTTAATGTTTATCACATTTTCATTTGTACATCAAACTATATTTATTTAATTTAAAAAATTCAAAAACTAGCTGCTCTTTCTCTTTGAAATAACCATGTCAATGTGTGAATGCGGTGTAATTTTTGAAATAACCGAAAGATTTCGTTTTTGATTTCATGTGACAACTACAATATCTTTGCTCTACTTTTCTGGCAAAGTCATCAAGGGCAATTCTTATTCATATAATTGGTTACTTTTTCTAAAACATGATATTTTACAAGATATATAGAATATCGATTATCGAACATAAATTTATGGACATGAAAATGAAATCTGATTATTATTATTATTGTATATAAGTAATAAAACAATTATGATATTGTCTACTAAAGCATGATTATATATTTTTTTAGGAAAGCCTGAAAATATATTATATTTGTATAAAGAGAAACTGTAATTTGTTTTGAAAAATGGAAAATCAAAAAAAGCAAAAAAGCAAAAAGTTGCAAGACACGTCAACATCGTCATATCGTGGCTACTGTGAACTTGTAATCCAACGTTGTCCTTCCTTCTGTTGCTATTACACGTCCTTTTCCGTCATTTAAATTTGTTATGGGAAATAAATTAAAATATTGATGTTTGATAAAGAAAAATTGAATTTAAATATATTATATATTTAGAACCAAGGCCATCATAAATTGCAATATTAAAAAAAAAACAGTTTTTTACCAATGACCACCACTTGTACAATTGTTAAATTTCTAACTGTGAATTATTCATCGTCACAAAATTATTTTAAAATCTTCATAAATAAGAAAAATTCATATTTCGTTATATCAATGTAACACTGTTAATATTTTTAAAAATTATGACGTCATCTCTAAAAACTACTTTTTATTTTTCTTCGGATTTTGTCAACAAAAAGCAATTTTTCTAAAAATTATGAAGGGTAAATTACTCCAATTGTCCCTCATACACATGCCAGAAAACGTGTTTAGTCATATTTTCAAAAATTAACTCGGACCGTCCCTCATTTTGTTTAACTTTGCATGCTTCGTCCCTCAAATACGACTTTATTGCGAACTTAGTCCTTTCCAAAACTGAAATGACGATAATACCCTTATGTTTTAATTTTCAATTAATTTAATGTTTTTATTGTTTTTGTTATCAATTTTTTTAAAAGAAAAATAGACCTTACATTTTCCCACCCTTCAATTGTTGCTAATCGGAAACAAACTCACAGACTTCCTAAAATTGTCGGCTAAATCGCTGGCCACAATCATCGTCCCCACCTCTGGAGAAGGTGACCTCGCAGAGCCACCATCACCACCTATCATTGCCTCCATCCAACTCCCTCGCCCACAATCACATCCCATCCATCGATGTTCAAGCCACTTCCAGCGACATCTGAGGTCGTCGCCTCGCCGGATAAAGGTGAACTTGCAAAGCCATCATCACCACCTGTGTGACTCTTCCAGACCTCCTATCGCCACCACCTGAAACCTATCGCCACCTTCAGACGCACATCTAAAAAGACGAAGGGATACGACATCGATCTAGGGTTTGTGTTATGACACTTCAGATGCAGACGACGATTTAGGGTTTGCGTTTACCTGTCTCTTGTTCTTCTCTGACCATTTCTGACAGGGTTCGTCAACCTGTTCTTTCTTTTTGGTCCATGAAATGGAGTTATTAAAGAGAAAGGGCTACAAGAAAAAAGAGAATGGTGAAGTTCTTAGAGAAAAAAATGGAGTTCTTTCTTTTCTGTTCAGAGTCACCAGAGATGTTTTTGGGGTAACCGGAGATAAAAAATGACAAATATTGAATCTGAGAATACGATGGTGGTGATGTTTTGGTCTTTCCAGATAGTTAGGGAGACGAAAGAAATGTAGGGAAAGAAAAGAGGGGAGGGGTGGGTAGGTGTATATATATATATATATATATATATATATTAACTGAAAATGATAAAACAAATAAAAAAATTAAAAAAAACAAATTGTAAAGGGTAAAATAGTCTTTTTATGTCTTGAGGGATGAAGTGTACAAGATTAAAATAAACGAGGGACGGTCCGAGTTAATTTTTGAAAATAAAGACTAAACACGCTTTCTGGCATGTGCACGAGGGACGATTGGTGTAATTTACCCAATTATGAACTCATCTCTAAAATCTGATTTTGTTAATCCGTGTAAAATAGATGAAATGAGTTCAAAGGAATTAGGGCCATCTTCTTTCGGTCTTCCAAGTGTCCTTTCTTTGAAAACCAAGGATGAAGGTAGAATGTTGAGTACATATTGAACCGTTAAATTTTTTATACATTTAAGTTGGTCAATGAAAAAGTTATTGTCATTCTATTTCTTATTTTGCTCCAATATTGATAAAATTTCAACTTTTTTATAAGATTTAACGATTCATTTACTCAAACTTTTGATTGAACAACTCATTACTTAAACTTTTGATTTTGTGTATAGATTTATAATTTTTTTTCTGTTTGATTTAGAAAAAACTCTAATTTATAGAGTGTATTATGAGATTAACAGTAACTTTTATATTGTTATATACTTTTCTCATTTTGAAGATTTTACTTAGTAATGATAATATTCTGTATTTATCGAAATCTTATAATTGTTAACCTTGTTGAGATGTTACACCTAAATAACGCAT